CAAGCTATTCTCCAAAGCACCTGAAGGCAAGCAACGGATGGAAAGTAATTAAAGAGAGAAACAATCTAGAACTAAGGAGAAATTTCCTGACAGGTAGAACAATTAATCAGTGGAACAACTTGCCTTCAAAAGTTGTGAATGTTCCAACACTGGAAGTTTTTAAGAAGAGACTGGACAACCATTTGTCTGAAATGGTATAGGGCTTCCTGCCTGAGTAGGGGGTTGGACTAAAAGACCTCCAAGATCCTTCCCAACACTGTTATTCTATTCTATTCTATTTTCTGCCATGGCAGAAAATTTTAGAAACTGTGTCCATTTCATTTCAGTTATGTTACTCACTGTTGGATGTGTATAGGGAAAGAGATCTTATAAATGCATAGTAATATAATTGGTAATGTCAGTAATTACAATTTCCTACTTACGATTATTGCAACAATCGTATTGTTCTATTAATTTTTAATTATAATTCATATCATTATGAATTATGTTTGAGATTATCACAGGCAATCTTATATTAGGGAGCCAAGTGACAAATAATTTAAAGAGAACATTACCCAATTCAAATAAAAGGAAATTAAACTAAATTTCTTGATTTATTTATTGTAATTCAACTCTTTCATGCCATACATAATCAGTCTTTAAAAAATCATTTTTCAACAATTGAAGATCAACAAACTGAAGATCAGTGTTAGAATTTGCTGGGGGGTTGAAATGTTCCCCACTGACTTTTCATAAAGAATTTTGTTTGCTTTATGTTGCCTTTTATTTATGTAGATTATTACTGTAGTGAAGAGCTCAAAAAGCCAACTCAGAACAACCAATTAATCAGGATTTTTGCTTAAAAAAACAAGATATGCAAATCATTCTTCTACAAAGAGATTTCAACCAAGGCAGATCATATTATTCCTTCTTGCTTGATACATTCCAAAGACTTTTGCTCTGCTCTCTTCAATTCCATACTTTATTCCAATATATATTTCACAAATTATCAGTTGTGTTTAGCTAGTGCTCAGGAAGTGATTGTTTACTTTTAATGCAATCTGACTAAATAGGTTAGTCTAACACCAAATTATGTATACTAGATTTCAGATCTATATTTGTTTTAGGATCATAATAGAGTCCCAAACCAGTTCCCTATAATATCACATTTCTATTCTAATTAAATTATAATTAAATTGGAACACCAGGAAGAATAGTTTCAAATGTTCTCAAAGGGATATTTATAATAAAGCTTATTAATATTTTCATACTTGAAAAATCANGCAACAAATGGACCTATGGGCTACCCGGAAGTCCATTCCTGAACTTCCAGGTTGCCCGTAGGGCTGTTTTTCTTCAGAGGCCTTCCAGGAGCCTGAGGAGGGTGAAAAACAGCTGAAAATGAAGACAAACGTCAGCTAGCCAGCGCACACATGCACGCTGGCGCTGACAGGGCAACATCTCCCATGCCGTAACAAATGGTTCCGCATGCCACCTGTAGCATGCGTGCCATAGTTTCGCCATTACAGACCTAACATATCTGGAATGCATCTTCATGTTAAGGTACATCAATTAAGTAAAATACTCAAGTCAAATTTAAATGATTTACTTCTCTCAACACAGACACACAACAAATCTTTAGAGATTAAAAATAAGTTAATTAATCTATTGTTTTTAAATAGGTTTTTTATAAAATACAAAGAAATATATACATGCATTCATTTTTTTTAAATTAAATTTGCTTTTTAATCACCAGAAATATTAAAACTGTTCCAAAGCAGGTGCTATTCAGGCTAGTGGAGAATGAAGATAATAGATGGTCATTCAACATAATCTCAGGAGTCCTATCAGAATTTGGCATCTTGTTACTGTTACTTTTGCCTACATTTCCCTATTTGAACTACAGGTACTAATTTATTCACATAAAAATTGCATCTTGCCATTCAAGTATACATAGACCATTAAAGCTCAGAGCTGTTAGAATTAGCCTAATTCAACATCAATCACAAAAACAGAAAATAGGCAGATTCAGCAAGAAAAAATAATGCACCAAATATTAAATTACATTTCTGGAGAAACATACCTTTCTAAACCATATTTTCACTATGGTGAGAAATATTATTTAAAAATTGTTAAAGCAGCCTCTCAAATAAAATTACATGTCTTAAAAATACTCGTAATTCTACCATCACTTAAACTCCAAAGAGTGCTCTTTTCTCATCCATTCCATGAATAGTTCATTCTTTTAAATTCCTAACTTAATGGTTATATGGGGCCTCATGTAATGCATGTTACTTTACTCAATTCATCACACTATAAATTAGTCCAATTGCATTGAGTGTTTACGGCTCGTTGTGCCGGGAGAAAGTAAGGTGAGTAATAATTCTGCTCTAATGGTGCCAATTACATCATGGACTATCCAGCAGTAGTCTTTCACTATGAAGTAGTGGTTTGAAGTTCTTCATTTGAGTGGAGCTATTAAGATAATGGGTATCTATTTGCAATAATGTCTATATCTTATAGTTTAAATATTTTCTGTTCTAATACATTTTAAGTTTTAAATGGTTTAAATTATCTTTAAGTAAAAACTGGGCTACATTATCTTTAAGTACAAATATCTGGATACCGCAATGTGAAAATTACTTCAAGAACAATGAGAAACAGTGTACATAAAAGGCATGGCCCAGTTAGAATGAGACAGCAGCATTCAATAGCTTGCAGATTCTGTCAAGCAAGACACAATATTTTGCTTCATTCATGCTTCCTTTCAATAAGCCTCTCTGTTCAAAACAAAAGAAAAGGGCATAAGTCTAAAGTTGTGGAACTTACATAAAGAGGTGCTTCAGTGCAGCTCAATTCCATCATTGCAGCATCTGCAAACAGAGCAAACCAAGAATTATCACACACTTAATTGCAAAGCATTGATACTATACTGTGTGGATAGTCAAAGATACTAAGACCATCACCATGGTATCTGCAGAGTTCCACGAGCAATTCTTGTCCCATACATTTGTAAAAGCAGACACTTTTTTCATTACCCTCCATAAGAAAGAAATACAACAGGTGCAATGTTTGGAAAGTTTACAACCTTTCAAAAACTACTTAAAATTAACTGAATTTGCACTATGTAAGGTCAACCTGGTGCTGACAAGTTTAATAAGCTCTCCATTTGGAGACTCACTAAATAATGCTTGCCATTTAAATGAATGTAACATTATATAACCCGCAGTTTATATAACAGAAACAAGACAATAATTCCCAATTAGTGAAAAATTACCTAGAGAATTCAAATTGTGTAACCATATTTGCCATCATTTAAAAAAAACAAAGAGTATATTTCCATAATGCCATCCTATACCGTGTACAACCTAAATCCTCTGTGAGCAAAATAATAAACTGACACAAATATGACATCTGAAATGCTAATATCCAAAGAAAACCAAAGCAGTTTGGATTCTATAGGATACTCTGCCTCTCCTCACATGTTCTTTAAAAATATTGATTTCACTAGGAAAGAGCTTATTGAGAATTCTTACAAAATAATTAATATTCAAACTTTCTTAAATGTAAATACAGCCTCCACTCATTTTCAAACCTTCAATATTTCAGCTGAACTCATTAACAATATAACTAGCTATAGATAATTTTCTCCCAGGTCTCCTTTCTCCATCCTTAGGACTATAAGCCTCTGACATAGGAACTGTGATTCAAGTCAGTTTATGCAACAGTAAATTCGTTACTGGTAGGCCTTTGTTTGGCAATTGCCTCATTTAGCAACTATTTACAGTTACAACAGTGATGAAAAAGTAACTTTACAAACTATCTTCACATTTATGATCTTTGCAGGTCTGTAAAGCAAAGAAAGGAAAGTTGAAATAAGATCATAAGCACAGGAAAGGTTTCATCGTTAACATCCCACAGGAAGATTTTCAGTCTTAGCCCTTGCTATATCCATAGCATCCCTCATAATGGCAATCAGACTGTGTCCATCTGCCCCTTTACATTTAAAAAAATAATAAAGGGATCTTAATTTTTAAAGAATGAAGATTTCACAAGTTGCAAAATGCAATAATCATTTTTATTTCCAAGAATCCCTGTAAGCTCAAGCATTCTAGAGGCAAGGGGCTTAATGGGGGGGGGGGGGAACCTGTAGTATTCCAATATATATAACTGGCTGTGTCTCCTGAACGCCATCACTCTGCTAAACAAATAATTCCCTCAACACTTTAAAACTATTTACTAAGTCTACATTGCTATTCCTATTCCTATCACCCATCTCCTTCCACTTATGATTGTATGACTGTAACTTTGTTGCTTGTATCCTTACGATTTATATTGATTGTTCCCTATGACTATTATTAAGTGTTGTACCTTATCATTCGTGATGACTGCATCTTTTCTTTTATGTACACTGAGAGCATATGAACCAAAGACAAATTCCTTGTGTGTCCAATCATACTTGGCCAACAAAGAATTCAATTCTATTCTATCCATCCAGGGGTAGATTCCGGCTTCTTCTACTGCCGGTTTGCTCAGGGAGGTTCTTCGCGCATGCGGGCACATGCATAGTCGTAAAAAAATGCTTCTGCGCAGAAGCAAAAAACAAGATGGCAGCGCCTTCAGCGCCACCGACAGAACCAGTTCGGGGGCATGGCAAGCCAAGTTACTACCTACTTGTCCGAACCGGGGCAAACCGGTAGGAATCCACATCTGTATCTATCTATCCTTAGGAGTCATTTTGAAGAAGAAGCCTATCCAGAAGTTATTTCCTAAGAGTAACCTCAACGTGTTCTGAAAATTCTGAATGAGGCTACTACTTTAGAAAAGTTAGCTTCCTGTTTCATTAGGAAAGGTGCTGACTTTGAATTCATTATATAGCTGTACTCGGGAAGCAAGTTCTATTTAATAGGAATTGCTTTTCTACATGATTGAGCATGTTGAAAAAAGTACTCACGTGTAATTTCTAATCCATCACATAGGAAGCTACTATAAGAAAGAATAGGCAGTGTCAACCCTGAAGCTGACCTGACAGAAGCCATCTGGGAGTTTCAGTGTTGCCACAGTGGAGCTGAGGGATAGGGAGGGGGGATTTGAGATAGTTGGACTTTGTAGCCAAAATAAAATGCTTTCTCTTGGGAACCAAGGACATTCTCACACCTGGTCATAAGAAAGAGGAGTGATATTACCAGGCTCCGTCTCTGGTGAGACAAAGCCGTGTGATCTTTGAGAAAGTGAAAAATGTTTACTTTTAATTATGTGAAAACTGCGGGAACCTTCAGATTTCGGTGCCAATGTGATATATCTCATAAAGCTATTCTTTGAGGAAGCTACCTGCCTCGGAGTTTTGCTTGTTATGGGTCTATTACTTGGAACACTGACACATAGAATTGGTTACCGGACAGTTGCATCCTAAATGAAATTGGGTTTACATGGAAATTAAATCAATTAAGTGTTATAGGAAACAAAGATGTATTTTCTTTCATTAGGACAACCTGGGCAGCAATCATTTCCCCTGTTCTTATCACTTTGTGTGTGCCTAAGAGAAGCTGATGCATATGTAGGAGTTAGGCATTGAACAGAGAGAGATAAAGTACACAGATGCTGACTTTGTTCTCCTTTTAAAAGCATAAGGTAAAGCAGGGTTAGTCAAGGTTAATAGAAAAAGAATTGCTGTGGGCAGGATTTTACAAAACAACTGATTCATTCATGTAGGTAGAGTCTGGATTTGGGAGGGTGGGGGAACCTAATCATTTTCCCCAGTTGGATGTGTTGTTGCGTTATGCAACTATGTAAAGCCTTTATCCATTGATTAGACACTGAAATTTAATGATATAGGTGGAGTGGGTTCCGATGAACATATTTTCATGCTTTTAGAATTAAGAAATAGATTTTGGAGACAGAAAAGAATCTGAGGTATAAAACCAAAGAGCAAGATGTTTGTTTTCAAACAGTGTGGATTGTAATACTGTACTGAGTAACTGGGTAATTAGTTTATTAAAGCTATATAAATAAACAGTTAAAACGTTTTGTAATGTCCTTCTTTCAACAAATCCACAATGAACATCTCCAGAACCTCTGGTGAAATTACTCAGAAAATATTAGAATGTAATGAATTGCAAAACTTTCTCAGCACAACAAAAATCGTATTGGGAATATAAATAAGGAAGTCATTCTTGTTAAAAAAAATTATTCAAGATGAATATTTTGCAAACTCATTACACCTCTATTTGGCACAGTCTGTAATTTGTACCATGCAGTGTACAATGAGTCAGGGATTACTTAAACATTTTTTCTTCCAGATAACAAAATGAACTACTTTGGTTAAAAGGTATTACTACTACTGAATCTGTTTCAAGTGTTACTTTAATTACCTACAAATATTCTCTTCTTTCCATGTACTTTCCTCTTTCTAAATAATTTATTTTACCATAAAGATTTTGATCTGACAGTAGATCAAAGTTGAGGTTATCTAGTTTATTCTCCACAAACACATGTTCCTTCTACCCAACATGTCAAACAAGAAAGTATGTATTTTTTCCCTTGGTTTACATTCAGAAAAAAATATATTGGCTTCACTATACTCTTACTCATCATTTTTAAGATACAAGATAAAAGAAAGAAGTAGAAAAAGTTGATTAAAGAGTACTTAATCCCTTTGGTCCATAATTATTCTCAAATCAGATCAGATTCAGCTGTTAGTCTCTCTTCTCCATAGTTTAATCTCAGCTATGAAAATGGCAATGCCAGCTGCCTACAATAATTATCTGCAATCTGTATCCTACAGAAACAGATTATAAACATTAAGCCCTAGGAAGAAAGCAAGTACTACTTATGTACCAAACATCTAAGTACAAAAGAGTTCAAATTACTGTCTAGCTGCCTTTAAATTCTAGAAGGTCTAGTCTCAATCCAGGGAGTGCCAGTTTGGAAAGGCTGCTATAATATCACTTTCTAGTTTGTTCTTTATTAAAACACTTTGCTCAAGATATGCCTGTACCCTTATGATGCTTTTTGTTTATACTTGGTGAAAGGCTCCAGCAAAAGTCCATAAAAGTAAAATAATTTTTAAGGCTGCTTGCTCTTGGCATTCAGGTTTAAATAGCAATTCTTCTTGTCAAAAGGCAATTGTATCAGACTGCAGAAAATATGAAGACAAGAGGTTATCTCAGAACACTTCCAGTAATTACAAAATGATGCTCAGCGCACTAGATTTCAATGGATCTTATTCTTATGTCCCAAAATTTTCTTTATAGTATATTTCAGTCTGCTTCTTTGAACTGTTTACAGCAGATTCTGTACAAGAATTAGACACTCCAAGGGTTCTCAACTACAGCTTCCAACATTTCCCAAAACATGGTTGATTATGTAAGATGCTGGGAATTTGAATTCAGAATTTGTTGTTGTTAGTTGCAAAGTTGTGTCTGACCCATCGTGACCCCATGGACAATGTTCCTCCAAGCCTTCCTGTCCTCTACCATCCCCCAGAGTCCATTTAAGCTCATGGTTACTACTTCAGTGACTCCACCCAGCCACCTCATTCTTTGTCATCCTTCTTCTTTTGCCCTCTGTCACCCTTCTTCTTTTGCCCTCCATCTTTCCCAGCATTAGGCTCTTCTCCAGTGAGTCTTTCCTTCTCATTAGGTGGCCAAAGTAATTGAGTTTCATCTTCAGGATCTGGCCTTCTAAAGAGCAGTCAGGGTTGATCTCCTTAGGACTGACTGGTTTGATTGCCTTGCAGTCCAAATGACTCGCAGGAGTCTTCTCAAGTACCATGGTTCAAAGGCCTCAATACTTTGGCGCTCAGCCTTCCTTATGGTCCAACTTTCAGGTACCAAAGTCATTTAAATATGCTTTTTCAATGACAGCACTGGTT